ATGTATATGGGCTGAAGTACGAAAAGCAAACTACTGATTTCTAAACAAAGCATGCAATCCACACCTAGATTTTGGTGGCCCCCTGAGACTGGGGGTATAGGTATGTTCAAACTTTTTTATTCAAACCAGCTTACGTGGTTTTATAAATATAAAAATGTGCACTTTTTTGATATAGGTAAGTGTTTAATGCTTTTATTTTCAGTTTTATTCCAAGGGGGCAGGTACTGAACTCTGACCACACACCAGTTTCCATCTTAACCAGACATGAGTCATCCTGCAGATAAGCTACTTCACAATCCTGTAGCAGTTTTTAGATTGTTTTGTTTTTAAACAGAAAGGGATTCATTCAGAGATCAGAATATGAAACTTCCTTTCAGCATCATGGGAGGACATAAAATAATTTTATGGTCTCTGTTGTGTTAACATTTGGTGCTTCCTTAAGTAACAGCATCTGAAAATCTACCATGTAAGTGGAATATTATTCACCAAAGCATTTAGGAGTCTTGTTCTTTATTCTAAACTATAAAATTAGGTTAATAAAGGCATTTGGCAAGGATGGAGGAAGCTTTCATGTTACTAGTGACTATCACTGAAGAGTCATTTTCATGTCTCTTTAGCAATCTGCAACTACATTCTAAGTATTTATCAGTACTCTTAAATATTAAGGCAGCTGTTTGTTGGATGTGTTTAGCTATTGGTCCCTGTTTTTCATCTGTAAAATCTCAAAAGACAAGGTTTCTTGATCCTCTCCTAAGAGCCATGAGTGCAGCACTGGGGTGACTTGCAATGACCTTTTGTGCTCTAGGAGCTGAGCCTGTGCCCTGAAGACTTTTGATTTCCCACTTGTCCTGGTCCGTCTTGTTTTTACCCTGCAAGTAAGCCATCTTTAGACTAGTGGTTATCCTGTAAGTGGGTAATAAAAGAAAACTGTCACTGAAAAGTTTCACAACCTTCCCAATGACACTGCCCTGGATAGACGTCTTTTCCTCCATGTTGAGTAGCTGCATGGTAGAAAACCTGTGAGGGTGTCTGAAACCATGGTATGAGTCCATCACAGCGGAATGGCACGGCAGGAGGCAGCTGGAAAAGAAAGCTGAGAGCTCATGTCTTCAAGCAGGAAGCAAGCCATAATTTTGAAAATTATCCTATTCACCATTAATCATTCTAAAGGGTAATTCAGTGGTTTTTATGCTCAGTGTTTCACAGCTCTGCACTAACTCTTGAACATGACTCCCAATACAAATCCTGCGCCAGGGAACCCGAGGGGGCGTTGGGCGGGCACCGACCGAGAGGGACCGCAAGGGGCGCTCAGCCGCCCACCGCGAGGGGGCGACGGTCCGAGACGGCCCCTGGCTGCGAGGGGTGCAGCCGCCGGCAGCCAGGGGCGAAGGAGAGGAAGCAAGCAGCCGCCGACCGTGAGGGACCGACAGGGGCTCATCTGCGGACGGGAGCGTCGCAGCCGCCAACCGCCTCTCCCTGTCAGCAGTAGAAGCAGTAGCAGGCGCCAACCATCAGGCCCACCGCCACCCAGCCCACCTTGGGCTCCGCCCATGCCGCCACGGACTGCGAGGACCAGGCCGCTCGGCCTCCACTCCAGGGTGCAGCCAGGCCGCAAACCAGCCCAGGATCAGAGAAAGACTGGCCCACTCTTAAAACTAAGAGACTGAGTCTTTATTCAGGTAGAACTGTAATGTAGCTTAGTAACGTTGTATTTCTGATAGATTTACCATAAGCTTGTAATTTATCAAAGGGTAAGCCTAAATCAATTTCTATCAGTTTCATGAAGATGCTGGTTTTATCTTCTTTAGGATAGAAGGTCCTTTCTGTTCACATCTTTGAGCAGTTGTTAAGGATCCATCTTAGGCCAGAGAAGATAAACAAAACTCTCACATGGCATGCAGGACCACCCAGAGTAGGGAATCCCCCATGCCTTCTTACTTTATTCCTCCAATGAGAAAATAATAACGAAACCAACAACCGGCTCAGCTATGAATTCTAGCAGCAGAGGT